TATAACATTATCATAAATTTATTTCTCTATTCAAAGATAAAACTGAGCTTAGATTCATCTTATGTGTCAACACGCATTCACACGCATTTTACCACATATTCATTTCATAATGATGAGGAAATCAATGATAGGTGTTTCCAATACTAACAATTCCACATTCGCTTATACATTTTAAGTTTTCAATTAGCACCTTGGTTAAGGCTGCAATGCATACGGAGCCTCCATTAGGAAAAAAATAGTGAGAGTAAAAACAAAGTAGATAAAAAGAAAAATATAGGCTATCTCTCGGCATGCCATTTGAAAGTTACAATAATTATTATTCGATGGAGATGGACATGGGCATGGACACCCAAGCATGCCAATACCAAACAGAAAACCTACCAAACCACCACCAAAATGAGCAAAATGTGTTGCAGTAATGCCAGAAGTAGACGCTGAATAGATTTCCAAGGCCGTAGGAAATACAACAAATATGATTAGTTGCATCAATATGGAACAGCGATGATCGCTATTTGTTGTTATTGCATTAAGACGTTCCACAGTGAAAAACAATGACAAACCGTATATAGCACCGGAAGCTCCAATACCACCTAAAAAATGAAACCAATTGTACATTTAAAAAGAGAATGTTCAAAAATAATCTTGATCGAATCTACAATTCATCGAAGTTCCAATTCATTCACTTATGCCGTTACTAAACAAGGACGAATAGCACTCTATTTACCTTTTCGACTATCTTTTAACATAGTACATAGACCTGCGCTTACATTTGAAAGCCAGTAAACAATAACTATCCGAAGTGAACCATATTTACGTTCCAATAAAATGCCGAACAGTAGTTGTCCGAATAGATTAGATAATAAGTGTGACCAATCAGCATGAATTAGATTAACAGTAAACATTCTCCACAACTGATGTGGATATAGAAAAGAAAAGCACTTGTGTTTGAGTTCGTTACCATAATAACATGTGACATTTTGTATCGATGATGTGCAATTGACGATACGCATACGAATATCGTAAGGTGTTGGTCGCATACATGGTATATAATACATCCAAAGATCATGTAATGAATATATAAAACGTTGATCTTTCCATTCGATGTTGATGTATGTTGTCAAATGAATGGATATATGTATGATAGATAGAATGATAATAAATATTGGATAATAATGTTTTTCATTTGGTAAAACATCAAGAGTGAAGAATCGTCGAAATCGCATACAAATAGTGATTTTTTTAGTAAATACTGGATTGTCCACTTGTACTGTGAATGGTTCTTCCAATTCCATCTGAATATTATCGGTAGTATGCATCGTTCAAATGAGAATGGTCTTTAACTTTTTCTTTTTCTATGATTCTGAAAACGAAGCGCAAAAGTATGTTGGAAGTAGGGTTCTTTCCAAGACGCATGGAAGGAAGTAAACTATTTGCATTCTTTTTTTTTTCTTTTTCTATAACTGGTAAAATGGAAGAGTGCTGTGAGAGGGTTGCTTTTTTTTTCTTCCGTTCTATACTAAAATGTATATTTACATTAATCCAAGAGCGTAGTTCTCTACTTCAGAGTGAGTGATGAATAATAAAAGCATTACTCACAACCTATACGCTTACATATATACATCCTCAATGTTTTCAAATCGTTTACTAAACTTTGTTTTATTCTCAAAATATATAAAAATTAATAAATTTCTAACATGAAACAACAAATAATATTATTTCCCAACAAAGCTTAGCTGGGGAGTTTATATCGAAAATCGGTGAGAAATACTTAGGAAAATATATCATGCTGTTTACAATTTATTTAAAAAATATCGATCTCTCCCATTGAGTTAAGATGAAACGTGGTTTTTGCATATGCTGTACCACAGATAATTTGCCTCGTTTCGCGTTGGTTTTTCTATACGGAAATATAACAAAGACTACTTGAAGACATAAGCTAAACAGAAATTCGTGTAACTTATGAATGGTTTGACAGTATATACGATAATTAAAGAAGTTACACTCAGTTGCTATTCATACAAATACTGGTATAAATTGAATAAAAATCTCGATAATTCTACAGAACCTCACCTACATCGACTATCTTTTAATGTTTATCTTACCGCAAAAACATATCATAAGATATGGTTCGATAGTGTGGATATGCATAAGAATAATAAATTTCTCAACCGACTATCTATAAGAGGAAAACCCTCGAAGATTCATCGGGACTTTAAGTATACTTCTTTTTCCTTGTATGTTCCGTCATATATGAATATCTTTTAACAACACCTTCAAAACATACTCTGACATCAATAAATATTATTTTTATACACCATTATCAACTGACTGTGTTTTCTTCAAACTTCTTCTACATCTAAAACGTTGCTCTATACCCGCTAGATTGCATAAGATGTCGCTAATCAACATAATTCCTATACATCTGATTTCTTATTATTCTTTCCTTTATATCTTGTCTTATTATCCTCGTTCGATTACAGTAAAATGATCAATAACCAATTAGATTTTGTTCAATTCTTATTTTTTTTCAATAATTAAAATACTCAATTGTTCTTCGAATATATTTATCAGAATATAATATTCAAAAAAACAATGTGACAAATACTAAATTGTGAAGTTATTTTACAGCTCAAAGAGACAGACTATAAAAAAAGAGCGATATATCTATAACTTCAAGTTACGAAATCTTTGTGTAGTTTATCATTGAACTATGCCATAGAAAATAAATAATGATTGATCATGGAAGGTTGATCAAACAAAGGAGAAATAAGATATTGTTAAACGATGTAGGACGATGGTTCATTTAATCGATCACTTCCATTTGCTGAATTAACTTTTTTTTCAATATCAATTATTAACTAAAATTAATAAATACGATTAATTATTCATTTTTATATGATTAGAATTAAACGTGAGAGAAATGAAGTTGAATTAATACTCATCACAATACAAAAGATCTTCACTATAATTATATCTATTAAGAATAGACTTCCATGTGTAATTTTCTTATCATGATAGTACTATTTCATATTGATTAAAAACCTTTCGTTTCTGTAGCTCAATTAGAATATAAATATAACCTGTTCAAATAATCCTACTTACTTGGTAATGAATGATAGTGGACAGGCCATCTGATCCACTGTAATTTTGTGTCGTATAAGAATTGATACGCCACTTTGTAGGTGTTGGTAGTTTTGTCGAATATCTTACTGATTCGTCATGAACTGCGTTGTGTAGACGTTTCAAACGTATTTTTGATACAAAAATTGATACATAGATGAGCATAAAAACACTAGCCAAAGATGCTATAGCTCCAACACAAATTATTGGTATATATACTGCTGGCTTTTTAAGTGATATCAATCCCAAACCGACACCCAATAATATTGGTCCAATCAGTACGGAAAAGGTAGTAACAAAACGAGCAATTTTTTCACACAAAGTCCATTTGCGTGCTTGATTAATATTGTCTATTGATTGAAAGAATTCATTTGGATCTATGATTCCTGTCAATTGTGGAGGAAAATCTGAATTAAACTGTGTACTTCTACAACATCCTATAAAATAAAGATAGAAATACATATATTATGTCATACATGAAATTTACTTCGACGTTCACGAATGATAATGCTATTTTGAGTCAATGGTCCAAGCATTTTGTTTTTGTCTAGAATATAAATAAAGCAACACAAATCTAATATATTCAAAATCCTTTCGTTAGAGTTTTTGGACTTGTTGATTCCAATAGTGTGAATAAAGGTAAAAGCCTCATAAATGATATTTATCCATCCACAATTTGTTTATATGTACAAATATTAGATAAAAATAACGAAAACATCAAGTTTATTTCAAAAATTAGTAACGTACATGCATTTTAGAAATGCCCTTTAATTAAAGATTCGAATCTATTATTGTACATAGAACAAGATGTTGAAATTCTATTTTCGAAGTAATATGGATATACACTAGAAACAGATAATAAATTTAAAATCTGACATAGATGATCGTTTTATGATAAAAATATCATTCTTCTTGTTCGTACATCTATAAAAAAATTCGAATACTATACCTACTAGATTTACCACAATATTCTCTCTCTTAACCAAATAATTATGAAATATTCCGAAGTATATGCATATATGACAGCTCCGTGTCTTACGTGTAATTTATTTTTATATACCTTTAAATGAAAAACGGAAGAGACATATATAGCATGGTTGAATGATCACATGATTTAATGATTGATAAATACGTATTGCTTCGACTGACTACTATTTTTCTGTTATGAAAATATGCTTTGAAAATAATATGACACAAACCACGTGTTGTATTTTTTTTTATTTATGCTAAAAACTGATACTCGAAAAAATTCTAAGAGTTAATTACAGTCATTAAGCGTATTACAATGCAAAAAGTGCTACAGTTGCTGATGTATTAATCGATATTTAAAAAAAAAGAAGAATACTAATTGATAAAAAAATATAGAAAAGAACACTTGCATATCGCGCTTGCAAACAAACTCGTTATTTTCGTTCGAATGAAATACTTTTTTTTTTAATATGAATATTTATTGTGCCATAATCAGGTTCACACTATAAAAACAAATGAGAATGTACAACAGCAAATAATCAGCAATATAGAAAGATGGAGAGAACAAAAAGATAAGTAAGAAAGAACAGATTTGATAGATATATGAAAAAGAAAAGAGAAGCCTTTTCGCTTATAATCATAACATATATAAAAATAAATATCGAGAAATAGTGCCCTCTATTTCTACACCTTACTATTCACTTAAAATTTACAAGTTAGAAATCAGTATTGTAGTAAGAAATGCTTATAGATAAATATATTTAGATAATAAGTTGATCTTTTAAATAACTCATGTTGCAGTTTATGATTTATTTCAAATTGTAACCAGTCGTTTCAACTGTGCTTTGCTCTAAGCGATAATCTGTTTAGAAATTTACTATCCTTTCTAAAACCCAAGCTTTTATGCCATGTACTGGCATTAATAGCAATCTGAAAAGCAGTCCAGGTATGTATGTACCGTGTTGCTTCAAGAGATCTTTCAAGATGAAAAGAAAAACGAGACCAGTATGTATATAGGTAATCGTATAGAGTTTTTTCTTGACTGAGAATTTGACTAGAAATATTGTCCCATCCATACAGTCCATAAACTATTTTTATTCCAAAAATATATATAGAATTGATTTTTTGTTGCTGTTTCTCGGTAAAGAAAAACCATGTAGAAAACAGCCAACTGAAATGAGGTAAAGAAAAAGCGAAAAAAATTTTACGTCTTATAGCTATTTCCTTTTTAGGTATACTATAAAATAATACTTTCATTGCATTGTATGTGTCTCTTACTTTTCTCAATCTATCATCAATATATTTCCCCCAACCTAATTTAGTAGTGATGGTCATACCCAAGTATTTAAAAGAGGTAACATAATCTATTTTTGTATCGAATGAAATACTTTTTGTGCTAATTAGCCATAAAGAATGTTTAAATACGTGAGGAAATATTCTTTCTGTTTATATTATAGTTGAGCATAGCTTGACAGTTATGAAATAATAAACTCTATTTTTTCTATGTCTAATCGAGAATATTTTCGGAATCCACAGAATCATCGAAAATCTCAAGTGAAGTCAATAGTTTAATCAAACTAACAAAAAGACATTAAATTCTAGAATAAAATAATACATTTGTTGATTGAATATTTTATTTCTGTATGTCCTCTTTTTATGTATACGCCGTATGTTGATTCATAGCTCAAACTTTTTTACTGATTAAATCTTCTGGTGTTAGGTTGCATACTATTATCATCATAATATTTATTTGCTTAAGATAAGAAACCTCTCCAAGGTACTGTTTTCATTGTGTCGATAAACTAATAAAAAAAGAACGTCATTACTCTTTGAAATAACTATGAATATGACTGAAGTAACATGTTTCGAACGTTTATCAACTGAATTAATTCTTGAAATATTTAATTATTTCTCATCGAATGATTTAATTTATTCATTCCATTATCTTAACAAACGATTCAACGATATTTTATTTCATCATGATCATCTGATAAATAATTTCGAAATTCCAACAAACAATTTAAATTTTTCTAACGATATTTTTCAACTAATTGGACCGAAAATTCAATATTTAACTTTAACTACCAATGATTTAAATATTCCATGGAATTTTCTATTAAATTTAAAATCCTTAACAATTTCTTCACCAATTCCATTAAATTGCGATCATTTTAATTCTATATTAAATCGTGAACAATTTCGTAATTTAGAATCATTTAAAATAAAAAGTAAAATTTGTTCTGAAGAAATCTATCATTCGGATGATCATATAGTCGAAGGAACTGCATTTACACCCATATTTTATCCATTTAATAAATTCAAAACATTTCAATATTTATCAACAGTATCACCTTTTCAAACTGTTGATGACATTTCTGGTATGGATATTAGTCCTCATTTACAAAAATTATCATTGAAATTATGGGAATTTGAAACGATCTATTTTATTATTCAATATTGTCCAAATTTAAAAGATTTGGATTTAATCGTGACTATAATTCATTCAGTTAGAGGCAATGAAGAATTAGATTTATCTACTATTCATCTGAAAAGATTTTCTTTAACAATGAATGATACGAATCGATCTTCACAAATGACTCGAGCATGTTATCATTATCTAGCAAAATTTATTAAACATTTTTCTGAAACATTAATATCTTTATCTTTGAATTTCTGTGGTGAACATATTGTTAGTGATAGTCCATTTATGTTGAATGGCACTCAACTTCAAGATAAATTATTACAATATATGAAAGAATTGAAAAATTTCAATTTTTATATGTCATGTCAATTGAGAAGTCGAAAAAATCTTATATATCTTTTGTCAACATTTAAAAATTCTTTTTGGCTCGATCATAATTGGATTGTAGCAACTCATGAAAATTATATTTATACATTACCATTTCATTTTTCACATTTCTATGGTTTCACTCATTTTGATCAAATTATATCGACGGATCCGAATATTTTTCAAATCAATTCTCGACTATGGTACAAGATAAAAACCATAGAAGTTTCTAAATCATTTCAAATTAATCCTGATTTAATTAAACAACTTCGAAGAAAAATACCAAATTTAATAACAATTATTTTCAATCAAGTAGAATCGATTGATCAGAATAATATCAGAGATGATGTTACCTTGAGTAGTGTCAATACTATTCATTTTAATGGTGCATCTTTGAATTATATTCAACCGTGGATTACTTATGTCTTACCAAATTTAAAACACTTATTTTGCCATGAGAAACTTCTACCTAAAGCTGACACTGAATTAGCTGTTTTACTCATTAAAAAACTTGAAACTCTTCATGTGGCTATGTTCGATTATAAAATAATCGAGCCAAATGAATTTTATCTATTCAATGTGAAAGATATAACAATAACCATTTTTGCACACTTCAAACCTGATGAAGATGTTCTTCAACGAATATTGAAAACTTTTACAAACTTCAATATTTTAACTGTTCATTTTAAATGTAATATTCATTATAATAATCCGAAATCATGGGGCAATATCAAACAATTGATTGAGAAATTAGATATGAATGAAATCAACAAAAACTATCAAATAAAATATTTTTTTAATTCGATTCAATTTTCAAGAAACACACATGTGTTTCTCAAACGCAAATTGTCGGAGATTGACCTTGTCTAATGTTTCTTGAGAGTGTAGATGATTACGTATACATCGACTCGTTCATCCGCTATTAGAAAAATATATATTATATGAGAATATTTTAATTTATTCTAACGAAATAAAAGACCGTATAGAATTATATTTATGCAAAAACTTTGATCAATTTAAGAACAAGTTCTAAATTCAAAAGATCATTTCTCAGCGAACCTTTTCGTATTCCGTCAATTGACACAAACAGAAAAAAATATATATGGATAACGCTCTGATAAAGTGTAATTACATTATTCGTTTTCTTTGTTTTACCATATAATACTCTCATTTTATAATGATAACCAAAATGGATGATAGATATTTGTAGTACTAACAACTCCACATTCACTTATACATTTTAAGTTTTCAATTAGTGTCTTGATTAAGGCTGCAATACATACGGAGTGTCCATTGGAAAAAACATAGTAAGAGTAAAAACAAAGTAGATAAAAAGAAAAAGAAATGCTATCCATCGGCATGCCATTTGAAAGTTACAATAATTATTATTCGATGGACATGGACATAGACAACCAAACATACCAATACCAAACAGAAAGCCTACCAAACCACCACCAAAATGAGCTGCATGTCCCACATTAATGCGAAGAATAGTCGCTAAAGATATGACGATGGTCATAGGAAATACAACAAATAGAATTAATTGCATCACTATGAAAAGGCGATGATCGATATTTGTTTTCAATGCATTAAGACGTTCTACGGTGAAAAATAGTAACAGGCCATATATTGCGCCGGATGCTCCAATACCACCTATAAAGTGAAATCAGTTTTACATTTAAAAAGATAGTATTGACTAGCAGTCTATTTACCTTTTCGACTATCTTCTAACATAGCACATAGAATTGCACCTACATTCGAAAGCCAGTAAACAATAACTATTCGAAATGAACCATATTTCCGTTCAAGTAAAATACCAAACAGTAGTTGTTTTGATAAATTAACTAATAAGTGCAACCAATTAGCATGAATTAGATTAAAAGTAACCATTCTCCATAACTGATGTGGATATAGAAAAGAAAAGCACTTGTGTTTGAGTTCGTCATCATAATAACATGTGGCATTTTGGGTCGATAATGTACAATTGACGATATGCATACGAATAGCGTAAGGTAGTGGTCGCATACATGGAATATAATATCTCCAAAGATCATGCAATGAATGTTTAAAATCTTGATCTCTCCATCGGATGTTGATATATGTTGTCAAATGAATGAAAATATGTATGATAGACATAATGATAATAAACAGTGGATAATAATGTTTTTCATTTGGTAAAACATCAAGAGTGAAGAATCGTCGAATTCTCAAACAGACAGTATTTTGTTTAGTAGATACTGGATTCTCTAGTTGTACTGTAAATGGTTCTTCCAATTCCAACTGAATATCATTGGTAGTATGCATTGTAGTGATGAGAATAGTCTACAATCTTTTCTTTTTCTATGATTTTAAAAAAGAAACTTAAAAGTATGTCTGAAGTAGGTTTGTTTGCGAGAAATATTTATGAAAATAAAAGATGCGTATTCTTTCTTTTTTCTTTTCTATAACTGATAGAATGGGCGAGAGTTGTCGGAAGATTGCTTTCTTTATCTTTCACTTCCAACTGAATGTTGCCGGCAGTTTACATCATTAAAATGAGAATAATCTGCAAAGTTTTCTTTTTGAATGATTTCGAAAAAGAAATTTAATAGCACGTTCCACGTAGATTTCTTTGCCAGACATATTTTTAGAAATAGACGATTAGCATTCTTTCTTTTTTTTCTTTTTTATAACTGATAGAATGGAAGAGAGTTGCCGGAAAGTTGTTTTTTTTTCCTTCATTCTATAATAAAAAGTATATTTACCTCAGTTAAAAAGTATGTCTGTCTACTTGAGAGAGAATGAAGGGGAATAAAAATTATACTCACAGTCCAGACGCTTACAAAGTCAGATCGTTTACTAAACCTTGTTTTATTCTCAATACATATCAATGAATTTTTCTGATGCAAAAAAGGCCATTAATTTATTAATCAGATTTGGGTGTGGGTGTATTCTTCTCATTTATTACTCACATCCACACCCATACCTTCAATCAAGAAGAAAAAGAAACTTCATGCCGCTAAGACCGATTGTTCCTTCCAAGGGACATACTGTATCTTCATGAAAAAAAAAGATAATTTTTTTCCACTATGATACGATCATATTAAGGATTCAAAAGCTCCGTTTTAGAGGTCAGTGTCATCTCATGATGAAAAAAATACCCTCAATTTCTAAGAGTTAAACCACATAATGAAATCTATTAAATATAGTTTCTCTTTATTTATTAATCATTAATAAAACATATATTTCAAAAAATTGATAGAACTATTTATTTAGTATAAGAATAAATGATAAAATATATTCTAAATAAGCATTAATATATTAGTGTCCATTCACCTTTGTTATTGTCTATATAAATGCATTTTTCTAATTACACCAAGAAATTCTTTTTTGTATGTTGTTGATGGTAAGATAAATACTGGAATAATAAGCAATGGTGGAACAAATGAAATATAATAACCAACAAGAAATAACCATGGGTTTTGTGCTGATTTCATACATCGAGATGTAAATAATATTATTAAACGAGGTAAAGCTAATAAAATCAAAATACATGGTGAAATCAGAAGATGTTTATGTTGTTTAATCTGAGCAGAAATTGTTACATTTGATGTTTTTTGATTAACTTTGGCACGTGATCTAAATACTTGAATAATAATAACTAGAGCAGATAAAATATTAATGATAAATGGTGCTAAAAAATGAAATAGATTAATAAATTTATCAAAGATTGTCAAACTTGTTGAATATTTCACAATACACCATGTTCTTTTTTCATCTACATCATCAAATAATTGTCGAGCTATTGGATCATGAATATAAGAAATAGTTATTAAAGATAATACTATTGGTATTATCTTTTTGGCTATATTTTTACTTTTTGCTTTACTAAAATGTGGACCTTGTAAAGTAGCAAATGCTCTTTCAATAGCAGTACAAGCATTTAACCAATCACCAAAATAAAGAAAGATTTTTAATAATACATCAGTTGATTTACAATTAAAATCAATAAATGAACGATTTGTTATAAGATTCATTTGAAAAGTAACAAGTTGACAATATTTAATTGTAAATAATGTAATTGTTAATAATGAAGTAATTGAATTCATTAATAAATATATTCCACAACCAACTTCAATTAAAGATTTTTGCCGAAAAGTTAATATACATATTAATCCATTAAGACAACCAAGGATAAACATTATAAATGTTAATGATGCAGTTATTTTCACTGCTTTTGATTGTTCTAAAAACGAAGCCCCTGGTTTAATGTGATATCCAAATATAACATCAAGTGATATACTATAACCTTTGGTTGTCAACTGGCATCGATCTCCATAGTAACATTCTCCACATTTACATACCGATGTTGTTAGACATTTGACTCTATCCTGAATACATTTTCCATCATTTTCACAATTATTATCTCCCTGACAGTCATAAAAATTCGAGTAACTAAATTTAAAACAATTTGCAAATCGACTTTCATCACAAATACACATATGTTTTTCATCATAAAAACATTTAAATTTTGGATTTTCTCTACATTGTAATGGATAATATTTTAATCGACGTGTATAACTATAATTAAGTAATGTTGAATTGAGAATTTTAGTAATATTTACGCACATATTATTCATTGTAACATCAGCAGAAATATATTCACCTGGAATAAATTTTTCTCTTAATATAGTAAGATAATAATTATTTGAAATTTCAATAAATAATAAATTAAATGGTTCTTTATAAAATAATGAAATTGAATTGTGACCAAATGGAATTTTTTCAAAAATCGATCTTTGTTGATGTTGACGATGATAAAATGCAGTTATAAAATGGCCAAAGATTACTGGTGGTATAGAATCTATTTTAAAATTAATATCAATTTTATTTGGTAGATTTTCGGAATCATATCCTAAATAATTTTCATTATATAAACAAATAAAACCAGTTTTTTTTATTCGATCATTCATCGGTATACATTTACCATTGTTTTGACATGGATTATTATTAGATCGACAAGCTGTATGTTGTAAATAACATTTTGAACCAAATTTATATAATGGACATAAACAAATTGATGAATTTAAAGCAATCGAATCAGATGAACATGAATGTTGATATGTTATATTACAAAATCGACCTGAGTAACCTTCATTACAATGACAAAATGTTTTATTTGAATTAATATATTTAAAACATTTTCCATGATTTCCGCATTCAGAGGAACAATTGGTTAATTCTTCTTCAGATTTTTCTAATGGAATTTGAATTTGTGTTACTATCCGATTTACTGGTAAAAATGGAAATGGAATAGATAAATTCCAACTTCCATGATAAGTGAATGCTATTTTTTCATAAATATCAATATGAATTGAATATGTATGATTAGGATTTTTTGGTTGATCTGGATAAAGTAAATAACGATTATATTTTATATCACAATCTCTTGATGAAATAAAATCTATTTTTTCATAATAATGTATAAGTTGATTTTGATCATCAATTAAATAAATAAAAATATCATAAACAAAAGTTCTTTTTTCATATAATCTTAATGTACGTATTTTAAGTGTTAAACTAATACGTTGATTTTGAAATTGACATCGATCACCAAAATAATTAGGTGGACATAAACATTTCTTTTTAAATAATTTTTCTTCAAATATAAGAATTCCACGATTACAATGTTCAATTAATTCAATACTTGTATTTGGAATTAATAGAATTTCGCTTGGTTTCGTATCAATAAGCTGTTGATTTGAATTTATTTCTGATGGTAAATTTCCAATATTCCATGTAGAAAAGACAAAAAATTGACGACTTATATGGTTATTAGGTATTAAACTACACAATATTGTACTGTCATATAAATCTGAAAAGAATGAAGACCGTGTTGGCGTATTTGAATATTGTCGAAGAGCACAAAAATGTTTTTGATGATTGATTGATTGAGAACCACAAATATCATCTGCTGTTAGACAACTTTTATTTTTCCATGATATATATTCATTATTAATATTAATAGTTGAACTATTTGAATAAAATATTTTCCGACTGAGATCACTTATGTTATTGTTAATACAATCAAGTGGTATTTCATAGATGTATTTTTGAGGAATACAGTAATAAACCATAAGACCATCATAACATTGATATTCATCAGTTTTACATTTGGTATTAGAACAATTCAATTCATCGATTCCATTAGCACAATGAAATTGTAAGTCACATCGAGTATATGGATTATTACAAGGCCACCATTCACAATTAGTGTCATATGTCTCATTGTCTTCTAGTTGTAAACCTCGACGGGTTTGAGAACAAAGAACTGAAAATACAGATACTTCTTGTTTGTGAATCTTATCTTCTCTATCTTTGCAGCCAGGTGCACGAAGATCGAAACCTATCGGTGATAAACATTTATCTTCTGATGTACAATTAAAACGTCGAGTATCATTTAATAAACAACTATCTTTATAATTTT